GTTAGGGTAGATATCTTTGGGATGTATCATAATACGAATGCCAGCGCCACCGTCTGAGAATTGTGGCACTTTGTCCCACTCGTTGGTGAACAGTTTAAGTTTTAAACCAAACGGAGCACCCGGTGCAATCTGCCTGTATTTTCCATCATAGTTGAATGTCTGACAAACACCTGTGTTTGAGTGATAGAAAAAGTCTGTGAAATCTTCGGGGTACTCACATTTGATACTGAATGAAAACTTGCACCAGTCCTTAAAGTTCCACTTCATCCTCTCGATTGACGAGCTCAGGGTTTTTATCGTTGTACTGTTTAAAAGGGCACTGGAATATTTCATTGCGACATCTGATCTTGATAATGGCAAAACGTTCTTGGTTTGTAAGCTTGTCTGTAAATAGGAAGCTAATAGTTGCTCGATGTCTGTATCGTTTGATGACATCGATTGCAAAGCACTCAGACGATAATTATTCGCGTTGCATATCGTGATGCTTGGGAAATCCATTTTATTGCTTGTTTCCTTTTTTATATATGTTAGCGTTGGGTACGACATGTATTCCTTTACTGAACTTGAAATAGAGTAGACAGCATGGCCAACAAGAGTCAAGCATAGAACGGACCAGGCTATCATTCGACTCCGAGATGTAGAATTTGCTACTTTGTGTACGCCATGCACTGTTGCAACTTCTGAAAATTGCTTAAACCTCGTTGCAAGCTTCGTATGCACCTTCTGATCTTGCTTTGGATGTACAGTATTCGCCATCTGGTTCTTTCTCTGTTTCTTTTTTTGCTCTGTGTACTGTTTCAATTATAGCGGCTTGTCCTTCCTTTGACCGCTTTGACCCTTGGTTACTGAAGTAGGGAATGGCATTGAAGGTATGCATTACCCAAGTTGTAATCACTTTCCTTTTCATGCATGCTCTTGAGAAAGTATTATGTCTTGCAAACAAAAAAATAACAGTAACAAAACATGATTTCACCTTTCATTGAAAGTGCTTTCGGTATGTTCAATATTGCAACCTGCCATTCTGACATTTGATAATTAGCTTATGTTTTGTTTACAATATATGCAGTTCTCTTTGGTATACAAAGGCGTGGTACGGTGGTGCATTCTTGAATTTTCATACGCAGTGAATAATTGATATCGTTCTCTATGAAAATAGTCATCTTTTTTACACAAATAAAACTATCAATCAAATGTTTTCATTAGTTCTTCAACTCGATTGTTGGTTTTTTTCAAATGAAATTTTGGCGAAGTAAATTTGTTAGATCAGATTCCTCAAAAACAGATAAGATCTAGAATATCCTTTAAATCTAGTCAGCTGAACTACGATATTCTACAATTATTTCCTTTCTACAGCGCCTTTTTTAGGGGGAGAGGGGGGGGGGGGTTGTTTCGTTAGGTTTTAGACCGACTGGTATCGTTAATGGCTGAAATTTAAAAAGCAATTGGGTTCTTAAACTCTCAGAAAAAATCTTTCTTATTTGGAAAATTGATTAACTGTACCCGGTCATTATCATGAAATTGACGAATTCCTAATATTTCTTGTTTTGTTTTCTTCTGCCGTAGGATGGCCGTACATCAGATGAAAAGCAGAGGAGTGCAGAAGTTATGTTATGATGTCATTGACGATAAATACTTTGTTCCGACGGGCTTGCATTTCTTCAAGTGTGTCAAAGGTATAAAATTGTCACTTTTCTGTTGTATTAACATTGTCTCTTTCAATTCCCAGTACAGGGTTTTTCACGGAATCAGCAGACGATGCTGTAAATACTTTTTTCATTACATTTGGCCAGAATGATGCTTTGGGAAGGAGCCTATAAGGCCGAAAAAGACATCATATTTACTGGTCATGTAATACTATCACTGCTGTTAAAGGCAATCTGTCTCGTTGTGGATTGGTTAACGAGAACAATAGCTGGAACAATAGCCTAAACACGATTCCAGCGCTCCGCCATATTTTTTACAATACGATAAATTAAAAGGGGACTGGAAACAATAAAAATCCCATTGTTCTTATAACCAATCAACGTCGTGACAGATTGCCTTTAAGCTTGGTTTCTAATTAACTCGTGTTAACTCACGTTATCTCATGAGCTTGGAAACAAAATTTCAAGCTCATGAGCTAACTTGAGATAACATCTTATCAAAAGAAGCCGATGCGTGGGGGGGGGATGTGCTATAATTTGCACTGAGGTTCTTACGCAACGCACTTGCACTGAGTATTACTTAGATGTTGAAAACAGTTTTCTTTAATCAAAAAAAAATAATTGTGAAATATAAGAAACATTTTCTCATTTCTAAGATCCTGTTGCAAGTGGTCGTATTCACCAAACGCATATCTTTTTGATAGACTCTCCGTACCGAAAACCTTGGCGCAGATCGCGAACGGCACTTCTAGCAAAAAATATTTTTCTTCTAAGTATTCTCAAAAGCAGAAGTAAAATAAGTTGTTTTTGTAAGACGCCCGCCATAGCTGCAAGACTCAAATAAAAAGTATTTTCTGAAATTTCCATAATTAATTTCCATCTCAAGTGGAAACCGAATCGGTACATTACGTTATCTCACGCTATTTCACACTATTTCAAGTTAACTTGAATTTAGACCATGAGTTAATTTTCAATTTAGCTCAGAATTATCTCACGTTAACCCATAGTAGAAGCCAAGCTTACATGGGTTAGTTTTGAGATAGCTCGCGTTATCTCACGCTATTTCACACTATCTCAAGTTAACTTGAATTTAGACCATTAGTTAATTTTCAATTTAACTCGAATTATCTCACGTTAACTCATAGTGGAAACCAAGCTTTAGGACAACGTGTCTTTAAAATAGATGGCAGTGAGTGGCGCGATTTTTCTTTTTGTCGACGTGTTCATGTTGTGGATAAGATATATTTTGAATCCCATAGCTTTCTAGATATGATAAAGACACTTCCTGAAGAAACTAACAAGAAGTGTCTTTATCAAAGTTCTTATAATAGTAGTGAGTTTTTCCTGCTATCGTGCATACTCCATGCCTCTTCTTTTTTGACCGTCCAATATAAATCTAATATCCGTCAAATATTTTCCACGTTCCTGTTGTCTTCATTCGCGTATTTCAAAGTGTTTGAATGCATGTTCTTATAAAACATGGTTGTATATAGAATTCTACCTGACTGGCTAAATTGTTTTTCCTCAAAAGTGCGACTAAAATGGCAGTAATTGTGGGTTATAGTTAAAATGAAGTTTTACTTTGGTTTAACGAGCAACATTGAAGAAAATAGGTTTTTTTAAGCCTGTTTAGAATGTTGTGCGAAAAGAAATACGAGATCTCTGAAACGCTTTCTAATGGTATGTGGTATATGATGAGATCACTTTTTTGTAAACCTGTTTTAGGGGCACTTGGCGATTAGCTGTTTAACTGCCTATTAATATGACCCAACCAGAATTCAGAATTAAACCCAAGTTGGGGGCGGGGGCAAAAAATACAGACACTTCCTTTTTTTTCTTGACACTTCCTCTTCCCTTGGTAATTTTAGACTTTCGCAAGGTCTATATTTTTGTCAAATTCGCAAAACGTATTGATCCTGTCAAATCTTGTTCGGATACAAAGCGCAATTTTATGATGAAAGGTGTCCAAGTTTAATACCCAGATTTGATCAAAACTGCCCAATTGGAAAAATCACGGAAATTCTCCTCTTTTTGTTGTCAAATAAAGGTAAAATTATTGTCCTCTAATTTCTACCGTGGCCTGTTTTGTACGGAACTCCATAAATTTTCATTCGATATGCAACGTTGCTTTGCACTGGTTTTTATCCTTTCATTATCTTGGCTACCCGGAGATATCTGGTGTCACCCGGTGCTGATGTTATCCAAAGACATCTCCTTTTCTGCCTCTGTTGTTGCCTTTCTGTAATTCATGCTCTCACTTCTGAAAATTTTCTTCTAAACGTTCATATTTTATTGTGTTTTTATTGTAGATCCATGGTCGTTGAATCATAGCAAAAGCCAGAGAAGATTATATTTTTTCAACAGAAGAACAGGATCTGCTGCGATCTTTTTGGAAATCACGCTGGTCTCATTTGGCAATTCTTTCAGGTGCCATTGCTGATTACCAGTATGTATATGAAACTAACAATTTGCTTAAGATGATTGAATGCTTAAACTGACTGGGTGTTTGAAGATAAGGTTATCACCAATGGAAACCAACTGGCTCAACTCCCTAAAACATCTTTTCGCTTCAACTGTTATTCAAGAGCTACATTAATTGCGTTGGTCACTTTGTTGTATTGTGTAGCATTGTACTCAGTGCAGCAGGGACATTCCTGCTTGTACCAAACGAGAACTGGATTCTATTAGTAATATCTTTTTAGCTTTGCATGTTAAATAGTTAGGGAACAAGTTAATAAGCCATGGTTTGTCTTTTCAAAATCTATGGCTTTAAGAATTGTCTTTGTCGTTCTTTACATGAATTAGCATTTTTGCTTTTATCAACATCCAGACTTCATCTTCGGTTTAAGAATTACTTGTCAAAGAAAAGAGATTGGAGCAAGTCACCTGTTTGCTGTTTGCATTTTAAGAAATATCAATATTGAGCCCCTTTATTTCTTCGGTCATGTCTTCTCAGCCACATAGTTAATACTTTCTGTCTCAAAGTTTTAAGCTTTTCATTAATGTCTTTACTGTCTATCAACTCAGAAAATGCATCTTTTTTTCATTGCTAATTTGAAAGTTTTTGTTTATCGAACTGATGCCAGCAATGATACCACAGGGTGCGGGGTGACCTGCATGTAGGAACCATACAGCATTGTAAGCCCATTTCACAGGTCAATCTCAATGTGTTTCTTGTATTACCTCCCAGCACTAAAACGTAATGATTGCACTGGATTCGTTATTATCCCTGAAAATAACCTGGACGCTGAGCAAGTGATTTTTACTGTCAGGATCTGGTATGCAATGTAGCTATGTTTAGTGGTGCCATCATCATGTGGGAAAACGGTTGTGCAAGATCATATAGCTTTGGCTTTCTATGGAGTATCTCTAGACACTGGATTTACGAGGTGCTCCCTACGTCCGATCAGTTCACAGTAAGCTACAATAATAATGAACCATAACTATTTTGATTCAGGTATTGCCTTTCAATATCCGTTCTTGTATTGGCTATAGGCAATGAGGAGGAGAATGTTTACACACACCAGGGCAAGAAAGCATTGCAGCCTCTAGCGGACAAGAACACGTTGTTATGACTTCCAATCTTGATTAGGGAGAGCAAAGCCTTGGGTCTTGGAATGTGAACAGCGTTGACAGAAACAAATATTCTGCCAGGTTAAGTGTGTGACAATGGCACACGTGTACAGTTCATGCTTGGTATGGTTTAACTGACGATTTAGGTTTGTTATATCTTACAGTGAGTTTCATTGATAGTCAACAGTTGGTGTTCTGACTAAATATCATAGGAAGCGTGGGTGAGGATTCTCGATTTTCAGCTTCAGAGCGGAGATGATAATGTGACATTGTTTATGGCTGGTAACGGTAAGAAGCACTCCAAACAAGAGCCAGAATCTTCAAATTCATGATTACCAATTCGTTATGGTGCGTAGATTAGAAGAATCTGCCAAATAGATAGATAAGACTTGCTTGAAGAGAGCATCAATCCTTCAAAGATGTTCTTAAATTAAAAAGACTAATTTGATAGTGGTTATACCTAGCTGCTACATCTCAAAATTGTGCAACGACTGTGTTATTTGTAGGTCCTGAAAATTTTACATTTACTTTCATGTATTTGGTTCGCGTATCACCATCGATCTCTTGGCTCATGTTGACTCGATGTGATGACACCTATGAGTATGCATCAGCAGGATGCTACGCCGTTATCTCGTACTTATATTTAGGTACGTGAATATCCTAGCGCTAAATTCTACCCACATGGTCAAAGTGTCTTTGTAAACATGAGAAACTGAAATTTTTTTAAAAGACGTGATCAACAGAAAAAATCACACTCTCACTTTTGTTATTCACAATCCTGGCAAAAATTACTTTCCCTCTCCTTGAAATCACAGTGATGTTAAAATGCACACGTTCCTCTCCACTATGAAGCGCCTAACACGAAGGGCGTATACTACGTGGAAGGTCGCTGTAAACATTCTGCACTCTTGATTTGCTAATTTGTCATTTTCCCTGGTTTTCTTTACCAGTTCAATCCTGGAGATGTGGCACTCAAGCTTACCTAGTTACACTTTAACTATAAATTACACTCTACGTTTTAAGTAAATGAACAAAGGTAACCAATATGATCTATTAACACCCAGTCTTGTACGAACCTAACGGTGCAGTCACATCCGCTCATAGGTAATGCTGTG